TTTATATATATTTGCATGCCAGAAGTATAAAATATAAAGCCCAATCTTTTATCTAGTGCCATAAACCTAAAGCCTTGACTAAACTTAAAGCCTTCTGCACGAGTTTGCCAACAATAAAACATAATTGGCTATGTCTAGTTTTTTGACTGGATGTTTTGAAGCATAACTTGTAATAAATCTTAGATTACTTGCTGAAAGCGAAAGACATAACTCTTTTTGTCGGCTCTGAGCAGCCACACACCAAACGGAGTCTCATAACTTTGGATAATATCTGGAGACATGTGGTGTCAGCAGAACTCACGCACACCCACTCACTCACACTCGCACACGAGCGAACCTGTGACACGCGACTGTCAGGCACATAAATTTGCTTTGGCTTCGGTTTGGGGAGTTTTCTGATCAGATTACGGAAATTTGCATAGAAATTATTTCAAGTTTATGCGCGTCTTCTCTCACATGTGATTCGCTCACACTTGAAGCATAAACTGTATCAATTTAGATGAATGTGAGTAAGTGAGTGAGTGTGTGCGTGTGTGTGTGTGCACATGGGCAATTCTAAAGTGAATCCAACTGTTTGTGGCAGCTGTCAGTGCGTCTTATGGAGTGGGCTGATTGTTCCTTAAAGAAAGTCAACTTCAGCCTTGCCCAGTCGAATGGAATCGAATGAAATTAGTAGTTGGCCAGTGGCCATATTAAGGATTCATCTGGGGAGTACACACACACACACACACACACATGCGCACTTAACTGTTGAACTAACAATAACTTGGTTAATGCTCGTAATGGAAAAGTATACTTTCGACGCCTCTCGCCCACACTCGATGAGACTAGCTCCCAATTTTGTGCTGTGTATCCATTTGAGTTATAGTTTTTACCCCTGGCGCCGTGCCGTAATTGCATTAAGCACTCACACATACAAAAGTAAATAAATGTATGTGTGTGTGTACCCGTATATTTCGCTGCTCTACTCTGGTCGAACGCGCACGCACTCCGGACTCCGGAGCAACGAGCAGAGCGGGAACAAGTGGCAAAGTGGGCGCTGGGCGGTGGGAGTGTCACACAAACTTTTAATTGACATCCAATAAAATTCGCATTTATTACGCGCACTGCGAACGCCTGAATTAAATTTAATTGCTCGACGAGACGAAATGCAGTTTTCATGACTGAGCCCCAGCAGCACCTGCTGCCAGCTTCCTGCCCCCCGTTGTTAATGTATTTTACGCCCGATTCGCTTTGCAGGACTACCACGACGACATTCGGCAAGAGCAAATGTGGGAGATGCAGGCACTCACGTCCACGCCCACGCTCAGCAACCTGGACGACTCGCAGAGTCCGACGAACACGGCGCGCGGCCTCGGCGGCGGCTTGGCCGACATGGACACGTCCAACGACGACAAGTCTGACAACGATGCCAGCGGCATGGATTGCCTCTCGCCGGACAAGCTCGACTGCGGTCAGTCCTGCAGCAGCGGCGGCGGCGGCGACACTCACCCACATCATCATCAGCAACAGCAGCAACAGCAGCAACAGCAACAACAACAGCAACAACAACAACAACAACAGCAACAGCAGCAACAACAACAGCACCACCACCACCATCACCACCAGCCAGCGCACTTCCATCAGCTGCTCCAGGCGCACGGCGGAGCCAGCGCTGCAGCTGCGGCCGCCGCCTGCGGGGAGCATCTCACCGGACAGGCGACTACGGCGACAGCAGCGGCACGTGAGTATCCTTGGCTAAGAAAATGCAATTAGCACAAAATCCGAATGGCTGGAAGAAAGCGAGTAATGCGCATTAAGCGAATCCAATTTCCGCCAATAATCAAATTTCATGATATATCTATATATGTATATACTTATTCACGAAACCGAAGTTTCTCATTAACTCCAGCTGCTTTTGCTCCTTAATACCTCATCCTGTCTGCATTAATACTTTTAATTGAATCATGAAACTCGTTTGGGCTATACTTGAATTTCTGAGAATCGTGTAGAAGGGCGCGCTATTCAATATGCAGCCAGCTGAGAGTTTAATTTGAGAGTTCCTTTTTATTCAATAAATATTAATATTTACAGCATTTATGTGAATATATTTACATATGGTATACATTATATAATATTTATATACATACATATAAATACATTCACATCTGCACCGAATCATGCGAATAACCATAATTGACACAGTTATTCAAATTATACATAATTACATGAAAGTGTTCAATGGCCACTCGATTGCCTCTCATGCAATTGGTTAAACATGGAGGAATAAAAATCACGCACAAATGCGAATATTTGTGTGCATCACTGAGAGACCTTTGGCATCAAAGAGCACACAGCCAACCTTCAAGTACTTTAGGATGCTTCTTCTACCTTGAATTGCTTGCCAAGGCTCATATTTGGTATCTCATTTCCAAGTAATAAGTTTTTGACTTACATTTCCGGCAACTCAACTGCTTTGGCATAAAGTTAATTTATTCGGATCTTAATCAGATTGAAGGCATCTTTTGCATAGTCTACTGCAATTTTATGCTTTTGAGGCATTTGCCAAATTTCATATAGTAGTATGTCAGTAGTGCATAATGAAAGCTATTTTGGCAGTAGCTAAAGGGTAAACAGGCGTATGTATGTCTGTATGTATGAGGATACTCCATATCTGTACAATATATTTTTTTTTTCTGAGTATTCTCAGAGCTATACTCTTGACTCACTAAATATTTTATATATCCTTCTCTATGCATACGTAAGAGAACTATAGAACAGAAGAAACAGCTGCCTATAGCACCCTATTATTACAAATATTAATGTACATAAGCTATTACCATATCAGCAATATACATATATACGTATCCATACATATATGAGGTATTCCGATTTAACTATGTGTGTTTGCTTACCTATATATGTATATGCACGCATATCTGTCTCTATACCTGTCTCACTGTCTCTCTCACTACCTGTCTCTCTGTCTGTCTGCCTGACGAAGAAGATCATATGCATTCGGTATATTTAAGTAAAACGAAGCTAGAATGGTTGCTGCAGCAGAGAGTGCTCTCATTGGCCACTCAAAGTTCGACTACAACGACGTCTAACTGACACCGGGCACAACATTTGAGCGCAACTGAGGCTCTGAGTGAAAATCGCCCTATATAAAGGGCAGTAGCTGCAGCATTTCTTCAGTCAGACCCAGGCCTGGTGGGGGTCAGTGCAGTGCAGGGCTGTAAAAGAAAGCGAAGGATAGTGAAGAAATACCTAGAGGAAATACTTAGAGGAATCTCTTGGAAATACCAAGAGGAAATACTTGGAGAAAACTTTTGGAGCAAATACTTAGCAGATATACTTATAGGAGACTTTTGGAGGGAATAATTAGAGTAAATAGTTAAAGGAAACTCTTTTAGGAAATTTTAATAAAATACTCAGGGGAAATTCTTAGAGCGAACTCTCAGGGGAAATACCTAGAAGAAACATATATGATAAATACTTAGAAAAATACTTAGAGCAAGTACCTAGAGCAAATACTTAGAAGAAATACTTAAAGGTATGTTTTCTTACATTTTTCATCGAGCCCGCTATTCCTTTCTATTTTAGCTTGTTTTAGCCTACTTTTATCCACAATCCAACTCAGTCTCTGAAATTTCTCGACTCTTCAATTGGCTTTAAATTTCCCTTGCAGTGCACACAACGGCCATGGCTGTGGCGCTGCAGCACCAGCTGACGGCTGCAGGCATCGGTGGGCTGTTGAAGCCAGCGCCTGGGGTGGGCGTGGCCGGTGCCATGTCTGGACTGAACAGTGCGCAGAGCAGCGCCGCAGCGTTGCAGCTGGCCGGCGATGGGGACGCAAACACATCGACACTGACGCTACTCGATCCGCCCGGAGCTCTACTGCATCCGGCACTGCGCAACGTGAAGGCCATCAACATAGGTGCGTTAGTCCGTTAGTCGACGTTGCGTGCGGTCGGACATGCATAGGGCTTAACCCTCCGTTGATATCGTTGCAGGTGGTGGCCTGGGCCGTAAGCGACCGCTGCTGGGCGTTCCGCGATCCGGCATGAATCCCACAAAGCGCACCGTGATGAGCCTGCTGGCGCGGGCCAAGAACTCCCAGGCGCTGCACACTGTGCGCCAGCCGGTGGTGACAGCCACCAGTTTTGCCGAGTAAATACTAGCTCAGTGTTGGGGAGTTGGCAGTTGAAGCCAGATTCAATATGTATATTCTCTATGCCTTGCAGGCCCCTCCAGATGCTGGCCTCACCCTTCATCATTCCGCACCAGGGCATGGATCAGTCCATCATAGCGCTGCCCAAGGAGAGTCTGGCCCAAGGCGTCTAACCCTACGACTTTTATACGCTGCGCACCACAGATGGTCGCACCTGACCGACTACAATTTGCCCCGCCTCCTTCTTCTAAAGACACACACACACACACACACACACAATCGCACACATACTAACAATTTAGGCTTACCAAAATTACAATTTATGAAATACGATTTCTAAATGAAAAACATATACGATTGGAGTCGATTGGAGAGGAGTCTTGAACGAGGAAGAGCAGCGAGAGCAGCCCATACCAAGCCATACCAATACCAGAGAGCCTGTCTACACACGATTTGTTTTAAGCGAATTCTAAATAAATAACGCAAGTATTTTTAATGCGATGTTTTATTTCGAAAAAAGAGAAAGCCATAAAAAAAGAAAACTAAAAAAAAAAAAAACTAAATTAGAGTCAAATTAATGAACAACTTCAATAGAATTACAATGTAAACGCAATTACTTTAAATAAATTACTTTAAATAAATATACACTCACACACATATATATACATATATATATATATAGACAAACAGCAAATATATATATATATATACTTGAATATGTACTTAAATCTATATAAATATATTTAAAAATAAATAAAAACGTGTTGAAACCAAGCAAAACTTCAACTTAAACCACACGCCACATAAATTGATAATACTCATTTTTAGAGTATTTTAAGAAGCCAACTCAAGAGAGCTCAGTACAAGCAGAAGCAGAAGCAGAAACAGAACAACAAGAAATATTAATGACCACACCACACACATTTGTTGATCAGATCGAGAATTGAGAAATATTCCCAGACTCTAGACCCAGGCATAACGATATTTTACTTTGCATAGATTGGAGCACAACCCGTAGTACACATTGAAGCCATATAATATATATACATATATGTATATATATAGAGATATATATCTGTATAGACGATATTCCAAGTCCTGGATAAACAGTGATCACAGTGATCCCACCGCCTTCAGCTTGTTTCATATTGAACCCAAAGCAAATGTCGTTAACAAAATACAAAAACAAATATATAAAAAATTATTCGGTTTCAGTTTAAGCGAAAATATAAAAACAAATAAGAAACATCGAAAGCAACGAATTAATTAACGATATTTTCGCAATTTATGATTATTTAATCTAAAACCTAAAAGTTACATTATTTTTATAGTTTTATTTAAACTGAAGACTTATGAGCTTTCCTGAATCAGTTCTCAACTGATTTGCGTTTTATATTTGTTGCCGAATATAAAAGAGAATATCTGAATTTGGTATTCTGGAATTTATGAAGATTATTTCAAATACTCGACAAACAGAGCAAAACCAAGTTGAATATCTAAATATGCACTCGAATGCATTCATAAATAAATACATATAATCGCAATATGAATAAAAACCAAATACGAAATACAAATATGAGAAATACATACAAACATAAAAAGTTTATGCATTAATGTTCAACCGTTTAATCAAAAAGCATATTTACAATTTACAAGCAAAATAGCATTAAATAAAACCAAATATTGATATTGATGTTGAAACAAAAACCAAACCGTGTAAAGTCCTAAAAAAAACACACATACAAATTAAAAGAAAAATTTTTAAAATAAAATTTACTCGTACCTACATAAATAACTGCATGTAGAAACTCAAAATATTAATATGCAACTTTAATTAAATAATTAATTAATCTACAAGGTACTCACATACACACACACAAATATATAGACGAAATATTGATGTGAGTAATTGCAGCTACACCACCACAGCTTCGAGCTATTCCAAAAATAAATGCAATATTTTAAAAATACATTAAATCCATGCGTTATCAATTTATTTTAATTTAATTTAAA